TGTAAATTTCCTACTGTAAATATATCAAAACTTAATTTTTGATTAGTAATATGCATTGCTAAGAACTTCATTTGGACAACTTTAAAGGCGATTTTCTCAATATTTTGACTTTTTTTGCACCCTCAGATTCCAGATTTTCAAATAGTTGTGTCTCGGCCAAATATTGTTATATCCTAACAAACCATACATCAATGTAAAGCTTATTTATTCAGCTTTCATATGAACGTTCAGATTATGTATAAATCTCAATTTCGAAAAAAATGACCCTTATGACTGGTTTTGTGGTCCAGGGTCACGTATAGGCTACTATATTTATACTTACTGATTATTGTAGCCTACAGTATTTTTATGCAATGTGAAAAAATTTAATGTATAAAGAAATTAAGATTTTACCTTTTGCGTTAAAGAAACTCATACTGGTTGACTGAATATTCATCTTTGCGTGAACGAAAATGCTTTTAAATTCTGACAGCGAAACTACTGTTTTACCGCCTTTGAAGACACTGAGCATAAACATTTACTGGATATCAGTAATATTTCAAACAATCGGGATAATCCAGTTATAATCTGTCGATTTAGTCCGTTAAATTCACCACTGTGCCTTTAAATCTATTGTGTAACGATCTACTATCACTCACTGACACAGTAGTAAGTGTGACGCCTACCGTTCACTGCGCGCACTCATTTCAACATAAAGCTTACGCTCGCGCTGGAGCTGCGCCTGATAAGTGTCCAGTACAAACCAGAACAACGATTTCAAGCTTTGTAAGTAGTTTTAAAAATTGGGAAATGGACCAGAAAGACACAGAAATGAACGAAAAAGGAGTTTCTTCTTCTACCAGCGGAGTTGTTGTTCAAGTCAGGGAGAAGAAAGGAGCTTTACGCGCTGCCATCCCCTATATGCCTTTCCCAGTAGCTGTCATCTGCCTGTTTCTCAACACATTTGTCAATTTCGAAAAAAATGACCCTTATGACTGGTTTTGTGGTCCAGGGTCACGTATAGGCTACTATATTTATACTTACTGATTATTGTAGCCTACAGTATTTTTATGCAATGTGAAAAAATTAAATGTATAAAGAAATTAAGATTTTACCTTTTGCGTTAAAGAAACTCATACTGGTTGACTGAATTTTCATTTTTGCGTGAACGAAAATGCTTTTAAATTCTGACAGCGAAACTACTGTTTTACCGGCTTTGAAGACACTGAGCATAAACATTTACTGGATATCAGTAATATTTCAAACAATCGGGATAATCCAGTTATAATCTGTCGATTTAGTCCGTTAAATTCACCACTGTGCCTTTAAATCTATTGTGTAACGATCTACTATCACTCACTGACACAGTAGTAAGTGTGACGCCTACCGTTCACTGCGCGCACTCATTTCAACATAAAGCTTACGCTCGCGCTGGAGCTGCGCCTGATAAGTGTCCAGTACAAACCAGAACAACGATTTCAAGCTTTGTAAGTAGTTTTAAAAATTGGGAAATGGACCAGAAAGACACAGAAATGAACGAAAAAGGAGTTTCTTCTTCTACCAGCGGAGTTGTTGTTCAAGTCAGGGAGAAGAAAGGAGCTTTACGCGCTGCCATCCCCTATATGCCTTTCCCAGTAGCTGTCATCTGCCTGTTTCTCAACACATTTGTGCCCGGACTGGGTGAGTACGAGGAGGAGAGTCGCTCATATACACACAACCACCTGCGAGATATAACACTGTATCTACACCCGAAATAAACTGCATTTCATCAACAAGTTCTTTCAGCGCGCGCTTTAAGTAATTAAAATTTGCTTTGAATCTTACATTCTCATACAGTTTAAGTATGTACTACATAAGGTGTATTATATTGCTTATACTTTTTGTTTATGCTTTCCAATTGCGATTGGAATGTCTAAATACTTTGAGCAAGGCTTATTGTATTTGTTTCTAATTCATTCATGCATTCCTTAATGCGTTTTTATGTTTTGGTGATATTTTTGTAAATGGGTCAATTACGTGACGTTATTTTTTTTTGTACCTGTCTATTACTTTCCACAACAAAACATAAAAATGCAGTTCATACAGACAAATGGATCCACCTACATTGAACATGTTTTTAATTTCTGAATTAAAATCTATTTTTATGTGTTTGTGGGGCATGAAGTCAAACATGAGGGTGGTACAATGATGAAAAAGTCTCATCAATAGGCTGAAAATCTCAATAGGATGAGCTTTGAGTAGGTTGGCTAACCTTGTGTTATTATTGTTTAGGAAAATAGATATTGAACCAGTTTTGGTTGTATAAAAGTGGCACAAGCAACATGCAGAAAGCAATTTTTTGTCATGTGAAATTATATCATGAATCATGTAGGGCTGGGCGATATGGCCAAAATTGATATCACGATATATTTCTTAATTTCGGTCGATACGATATAATTCCGATATCGATATGAACATTATTTATCTGAAATAGAAATCTTTTGTAACATTATAAATGCCTTTATCATCACTTTTGATCAATTTTAAGCATCCTTGCTAAATAAAAGTATTAATTTCTATAATTTCTTTCCCAAAAAAATAATAAAAATTATACTGAATGGAATAGTGTATAATGTTACAAAAGCTTTTTATTTCAGATAAATGCTGATCTTTGGATCTTTCTATTCATCAAAGAATCCTGAAAAAAAAATGTACTCAACTGTTTTAAATATTGATAATCAGCAAATCAGCATATTAGAATGATTAGAAGGATCATGTGACACTGAAGACTGGAGTAATGATGCTGAAAATTTACCTATGTATGATCACAGGAATAAATTACATTTTAAAATATATTCAAATAGAAAGCAATTTTAAATAGTAAAAATATTTCAACATCTTACTGTTTTTGCTATACTTTGGATCAAATAAATGCAGCCTTGGGGAGCAGAAGAAAATTTTTAAAAAAAAAAAAAAATCTTACTGTTCAAAAACTTTTGACTGGTAGTGTAGGCTGATTATTCTTATAGATTGAAACAAATGTGCTTCAGCCAGAAAAAAGGGTATGAAAAGTGCTCCGAGTCGCTGCAGAAAACAAAAAAATTGAACAACAACAAAAACTGGAAATGTTGCTGGAGACGGGCTTATTTAAAATGAAAACTCATTCTCTGCCAGCAGGAGGCGCTTTTAGAGTGATAAAACTAGCGGTTTCTCCAGTAACGGCTGTAATCAAAGCAGCTCCGCTCATGAACGCTTCTTTATCAGATCAAATGAAAATGCCATCGAAACTTTTCTGAAGACAGTCAATTCCCTTCAGAGATACATTCATATAAAACACCCGCGCCGTGTTATGATTTTGAAACGTGCAGTGCTCATGTTTATTCAACGAAGTCAAACGGCACAAATAAATCAATGTATGGGAAACTGGTAATGTATATCGAAATATCGGAAATGTGTTTAAAAATCATATCACCGTTATTGAAAAAAATTATATCGCGATACATATTGATATTGAATTATTGACAAGCCCTAACTTAACGGCTAGAGAATCCCCATAATGCACTGTGAGAGTCGCACGCCAAATGAATTCCCACGTCTCACCAGAAGACGGCGCCCACAGCTAAATCATCCATTCATTCATTTTACAACGCGCTCGTCCACGGCGTAATACAGCGTATACAACACAGCTACAAATTCATTGTAAATTCACTATTAAATTGTTTAACTAGGGTTTATACATAATTTCCGTGACAGAGTTTGAGATAAATCCTTTAATCTTACTACTCGAGCTGCCCGTTTCAAATGATTATTAAACAGCAAGCAAGCTATGCAAAAGAGGGAGTCCTTCCGGTGCACTCAATGTCCGAATTCACTCAATCGTTTTCATTCACTCCTTCAAGTGAACTGTATGAGTGGACTAATGTAGGGAATAGTGAATGAGGGTATAGGGGGCGATTTCGGATACAGCCTTTGTCCTGCCGCTAAATGAAGTGTCATGCCATTCCAATCAGATTGTTTACAGCTGAAGCTAATTTGTCATTAGCTTCATTGTATTCTGACACATGCTTGTGTGTGTGCATGTGAATACAATGGTGTTTGCCTTACAAACTATTTTCTATGGACATAACATTGAGTTATTCTTATATAGGTCAATATTTATTCCCATTTTGTCTGTAATGTTATTTTTAGTAACGTTTAAGCAAAATTCTGCCATCGATCAGTGGTTTAGGTTTCCATCTGGAAGGGAAAAACCTTCTTTGTCATTCAGGTAACAGTGTTAATAGGTAGTGTTTACAAATGGCAGTGTGTATTTGCAGCACACTGTATCATGGCAACCTGGTGATGTCAACCCTGCCTCACATCATAGAATGAAAACAGTTGAAAGATTGTCTTGTGAAATTTTTTTTTACAAGGTAGACGCCCAGCTCTTTTCCACATGGATGAGAGTTCAGCATGGTTCTACTAATAGCTGCTTACTGTATGTGTTATTTATATCA